CACACACACACACACACACACACACACACACACACACACCAATCAACAGGGAAGGTCTACCCTAACTGTGTGAGTGGCTCCATCCCATTTGATGGGGGTCCTAAACTGAGGAAAAATGGAAGAGCAAGTTAAGCACCAGCGTTCATCTCTCTCTGCTTCCTGACTATGGATGTAATATGAGCAGACACCTCAAGCACCTGTCATCGTGACTCCCCCTCCATGTTCCCTGAAACCATGAGCCAACATAAACACTTCGTCCTTCAGGTTTCTTTTGTTGGGTCATTGTAGGGGAAGCTGTAGCCAGGCCTACTTAGGGGCTGGCTTGAGGGCGTGTGGAGGCACACCTGTAGCCAGCCCCTAAGTAGGCGTGGCTACAGCTTCCCCTACAGGTCATAGCAATGAGAAAAGGAAATAATGCAGGTATCCTGGGCTCTCTTTCTAAGTCCCTCTGCTGAAAGTCTTAGCCCCTCATACCCCTTCAAAGCTTTTCTGGTCTACTAAATTAAGTACATTTTTATTCTTCATGGCCAACAGCCCTCACAAGCCCATTCTGCATTGCTTCAGATTGTTATATGGCTATTTTGGTCTTTGTGCCAAATGAGCATAAGACACCCCCCTACCACTCTGTCTCATAGGATGCATAGACACTCCTGGCAGTGCACAAACAGCCATCACCAAAAAACTGGCTGGTCATCCATTAGTGATATTGACTGTCCCAGCTCTTCCATTTGGTTGAGCTCTCAAACTGAACTATGGAGCATAGAGGAGAATATCTTCTACTTAGAAGTTGAGAAATGTAGTGGTTGAAAAAAGAAAACAAATGGTATGGTGGTATGCATGCATGTGAGCATTGGGGTGGAGGATCTCTTTTGTTTAGTTGGTCTAATCCTTATCTGGATGTGTTAAGACAGTTATTTTCCCCAAATCCCACAGAACAAGCAATCTTCAATTTCCAATGGCTTACCATGGAAAACTTTCTATTTCTTGCTCAGGGCTGTGTAAGTTGGCTATGCATTAGCTGGACTCGTCTTCAACTAGCAGAGTTTGTCTGTGGATTGTAGACCCAATCATACCTATCGACACATTTCCTCATTCTTGGAACAGCAGCTACAAAGGTTATGCTATTCTCACGAAGGGTGTGTGCTGGCTGCTCTATGTCAACTTGACACACAAACTAGAGTTATCTGCAAGGAGGGAAACTTAATTGAGGAAATGCCTCCATAAGATCCAACTGTAAGGCATTTTCTTAACTAGTGATCGATGAGGGTGGCCCCAGCCCATGGCGGGTGGTGCCATCCCCCGGCAGGTGGTCCTAGACAATCAGAAAGCAGGCTGAGCACAGCATGAGGAGCAAGACTTAAAGCGGCACCTCTTTGTGGCCACTGCCTCAGGTTCTGCGTCCAGGATCCTGCCCTGGTTGAGTTCCTGTGCTGACTTCCTTTAGCAATGAATTACGATGTGGAAGTGTAGGCTATAGAAACCCTTTCCTCCCCAGCTTGCTTTTTGGTCATGGTGCTTTGTCACAGAAATAGAAACCCTAACTAAGACAAAGGGTAAGAAAATACCGAAAATGCAATTCAGACATCCAGAAAATTAGGAGCCTCCACTGAGTTCAATTAGATTGACATTGCACTGTCCAAAGCAAGTCATGTGACCAAGGTCCAAATCAACAGGGACATAGAGGTAGACTTTACTATTCTAGGGGTTAGGGTTAGGGTTAGGGTTAGGGTTAGGGTTAAGGTTAGGGTTAGGGTTAGGGTTAGGGTTAGGCATTACAAAGCGTTTGGCAGGAAAAAGGGGGATAAAGAATTGAACAGTGGCTGGTGGTGGTGGTGTGCACTTCTATTCCCAGCACTAGGGAGGCAGAGGCAGGTGGATCTCTGTGAATGTGAGACCTGCCTGGTCTCCAGAGCGAGTTCCAAGACAATAAATTTCTCTAAAGCTACTCAGAGAAACAACCCTATCTCAAAAAACGAAAGAGAGAGAGAGAGAGAGAGAGAGAGAGAGAGAGAGAGAGAATTAGAACAGTAATTGAAACTATGTGTTGGTGATGATATGGACTCACTATATAATCTTAGCTGACCTTGAATTTGCAATGCTCCTGAGTCCCTGGGATTATAAGCATGCACCACCATATCCAGCTAGAACCATATGTTTTGAAATTTAATTCATTTTGAATCAATTAATGAGAGCGGAGAACACATGGAGTTTACTTTTGCCTTATGCATTGACAGAACACCCTTTAAGTCCTTTAATGTCAGCTTTGGCATATGTATTGGGATGGCCCAGTGGTTCAATTGTCTAACGGATTCAGAACAGTTATGAATGTTTGAACAAAAAATGGGAGTTTTGTCTTTTCTTTTTTTAAGCTTTTTTCTTTCTATTTGTTTACTTAGCTTTTATATTATCTCAAATATTTTCAATCTTCTGAATTAAGCCATGTATATCTGCCAAAGTTGATGATGGTCAGTTGGTAGTATGCTGGTCCAGCATGCACAAAGTCCTGGGTTCTATCTCCAGTACCACATAATCCAGGCATGATGGTACCTGCCTATAGTCAGGAGGTAGGAGGTGGGAGAATAAGAAGTTCAAGCTAACATAGTCAGCATGAAGACAGCCTGGACTATATGAGACCCTGTTTCACAAAGAAGTAAACACGTAAGTTGAACTACTTTAGAATGTCACTACTGCAAAACACAAATCAAATCAAATCACCTCTTTTTAAAGCGTTGGCAGTGCTTCTCTACATGGGAAGCCTGGAAAAGATTCGAAAAATCCTGATGCCCGCACCACACACCACATCAATAACTACATTGGTCTCTTAAGAGATGAGGGCCAAGCTGGGCAGTCATGGCACACACCTTTAATCCCAGCATTGGGAGGCAGAGGCAGAGGCAGAGGCAGAGGCAGGTGGATCTCTGTGAGTTTGAGGCCAGCCTGGTCTACAGAGTGAGCTCCAGGACAGCCAAAGCTACACAGAGAAACCCTGTCTTAAAAAACCACAACAAACAAACAAATAAAAAACACAAACAAACAAACAGAGATGAGGCCCAGTATTGGACATCTTCTAAAGCTCCCCAAATGACTCTAATATTTGTCTTCCCACTTTATAACAAGGTGAGACCTTTTGGAAGGGAATCTGTTGACAGGCAGATTAGGTCTAGTATACCTTCACTTCGGGTCATCAAATGCAACAAACACTGATAGTATATATGCTAAGGCTCCTTTAGTCTTTCTGCATCCCATAATAATGCAACTCTAACTTGGTAAATCCTGTTTCTTTTCATTGTATTTCTTGGTAAACGTTGAAGTGGCCCCAGGCAGCGACAGCTCTTTGAGGCCCTGGTAATTCTCCTCTTCCATCTCTCTTCACTTTCTGGATGGGTACTCTGATTTCTTTCCTCAAGTGATTGGGGTGTTGTAGAGATGGTCTCAAGAGTATGAGGCAATTCTGGTCACGGTGTTCCCTGCTGCTCTTTTTCTAGGAAATCCACTTGTGTTCTAAGAAGATGATTACATTGACTTCTGCCAGGGGAGAAGCCCCTGAAGAGCTGTGCCGGCGTCAAAGCTTCTCCAGAACACTTCTGTAGTGACTCTGACATATAAAACAAACAATTCTGGAGTCCCCAAAGCCTCTTCTAAACTCTTGATGGACAAGCTGCCTGACTAATGTGATGCATTGCATGTGAAGGCATAGTTGCATTGGGGCAATTCCTCATTCCCCTGACTTATGAAACGAGCAAATATCCTATCATGTTGTGGAAAATTGAAGCTAATTCCTTCAGGGACTGAGAGCTTTCATTTCAACACTTTATTTATTTAAAACAACATTCTCAAGTGTGTGATATGCTGGCTGTTTTAATGGAGAATTTGGAAAAGGATTTCATTTATCATGCTTCACCTTGTACACATCTCACCTTTGAACAAGCTCAGATTGCCATTCTTCTCTGTCTTGGTTGCAGGTGCCACCAACCACACCCCTCTAGTGCTTCACACCTCCCACCCACCTCATTCAGTCCCAGAGTCCTGAAGACTTGTCCCCTGAGTATTTTCCGGAATGCTCCTCAGTGCAATTGTATGTCATTGTCTCCATTCCTACCACCACTCTTCACTCCCAGATATTCCAGTTCGGTTTCTGATGTGACAAAACACTGACCAAAAGCAAAACAGGGAGGAAAGGACCCACCCTGTCCTATAGTTCCCGGGTCATTATTGAGTGAAGCCAAAAAAGGAAGTCAAAGCAGAAACCAAAGCAGAGACAATGGAAGAATGCCAATTATTGGCTCGCTCCACATGGTTTGCTCAGCTTGCTGTTTCTTTTAATGCAACCCAGGATCACCTGCCCAGGGATGGCACCATTCACAGTGGGATGGGCTGATCCATATAAATTGTTAATCAAGGAACTCAAATATGGCAGGAA